CATTTACATACATGCAGGCAACACACTCATACACACCAAGGTGTGGTGGCACATGCCTTTAATCCCAGCACTCGGGAGGCACAGGCAGGCAGATCTCTGATAGACTCGCCTGGTCTTATATAATGAGTTCCAGGACAGCTAGGGCTATAGGGAGACCCTGTCTCAAAAATACCTAAATAAATAAATAAAATAATAAATAAAATATTTTTTTAAAAAAGAGTTTCAGCTCTAGGTAGGTATGATCCATCCATATGGAAGTGCAGAGGGATACTCTGGCAGGTGCATCCAGCCAGGAGGGTTGGAATCCTCCTTTTTCTGGAGTTCCAGTGGGTATGTCAGATATGGTTGTCACTGTCATCAGAGAGAAGGCTGCAAGGACTTCTTTAGGGCATGAGAGGGCAGCACAGTTAGGGAAACTGATAGATATTCATCGGGTAAGCCACTAAGGTAGAAATAATTCTACATTCTTTCCAAACTATATGCTCCAAATTCAACATACTCTAACACCCTGAATTGCACTATCTACTTTATACATTATTCACTTTATATGTGAAAGTGGTTGTGGGAGCAAGTGTGACTTAAGAGTGATTCTTGCTTTGGGGCAGGAGCTCAAATTTCAGATGGTGTTGCAGTCTCAGGCAATAGGGGCAGGAGGGCTACCCCAGAGGAGATAAAAGGTAGAACTAAATAATAATCATAATAAGCCCAGGCTCAGCTTGCCCTCTGTTATCCCCTTGAGTCTGCAGCTCTACAGTGTCAGAGACGAAGACTCCCCCAGCTTCGCCCTGGGACTGACCTTCCCCACTATTGGCGATACCAACCTCGGAGCTAATATATGGGCAACACAGTGTAGAGGCTCAGTGCACACAGGCTCATGTCCATACACCACACAGGGTGGAGGAGACAACACAGTGCACATGACTGTAGCCCAGGCAGGAAGTGCCCACAGTGGTTTAAGTACAAACCTGAGCTCTGGGTCTCATCTAGACCAGATGGCTTTGCCACACATTGGCCCTGTAACCAGGGGTGATGAGACAATACTGCTTACTTTACAGGGACTCATTAAAGATTAAAGGACCTGGGGTTGCTCTGTCAATATTTATCACGTGCCTAATACATGGCTAGTATGGTCCCTGGGCAGGTGAGAAATACTAAATTCCTAGCAGCTGAAGCTGACATTTACAGGACAAATGATGTTTAGTGACCTGTCATACAATGACAGGTACTTTAGTCTGGAAATTCTCTAGGGTGAAGAACTTATTTCTGTACCTAAGGATGGGGGGGTGGAGCAGTTTGCTGGGGATATAGCTCAGCTAGGGGAATGCTTGCCTAGCATGCATAAAGCCTTGGATTTAATCCCTAGCACCACATAAACTGGATGTGGCATTAATCTCAGCATTTGGGAGGTGAAGTGAGGCAGGATGTTCAGAAGTTCAAGGTCATTTTTTGCTATATGGGGAATTTGAGATCAGCCTGGAATGCACAAAACTCTGCAGCAAAATTTAAATGATAAAATAAATAAAAGATTTTAAAACAAAATAAATGATCTGATTTTTACTGAGCCTCGGGCATGTGCCACTAAAGAAGATCAATCAAGACATGGCTCTTGTTCTGGGAATCCTGAGACCTGAGGGAAGAGTCCAATACACACAGAGAACTGCAGGGGCAGATGTGCAGCAGCCCGGTGCTGCAGGGTGGCAGGAGGCATCACTGATGTGCCAGAGCCCATGGGTATGTCCTACAGGAGGTAACCCAGAGCTGACTCAGGGGGACAAGAAGTAGTGAGAAAAGAAGTGCTAAAACACAGGATGGAGGGAGCTAGAGGAAGGCTCGTGCCCTGCAGCATAGCCTGGAGTGGCTAAGGAAGACACCAGACTGCACTGTGCAGAGCCCTGAAGGCCTGGGTACTGACTGATCTGGCCTGGGCTGAGGCAGGGACTGAGTCTAGAGAGGAGTGGGGACATGAAGCAGTGACCTTGGAGCCTGGACCTGGACTGTTATTACTGGAAGGTCACCAATCAAATGGGGATTGGGATAACAGTTGGCCTAAGGTTCAGAGAAATGGGCATTGTTCTCGAAGAGCTATACATGAAGCCACAGTCACAGCCACTGTGACCTGGACAAGTGCCATGCTAGGGGAAAGACTAGGGCCCCAGCAGGACTCAGGCAGGATGAATGGAGTGGTATTCCAAGGCAGGAGTCATGGCCTATGAGCAGAGTCAACAAATGTGGCCAGGGAAGAAATCCTTCTGGGCTCACTCATGATGACCCTTCATCCAAGGATGATGTGAGCAAATCTTTTTGGATTTTAAAGATTTTATTTTTACATTTAATTATGTGTATATGTGTGTTTCTGTGTGTATGTGCACATGAGTAGAGATGCCTGCCGAGATCAGAGGCATCTATCTGATCCTCCAGGAGCTGGAGTTACAGGTAGATGGGAACTGTCCATGTAATTATTGGGAATTGAACTTGGGATCTTTGGAAGAGCAACAGCAAGCACTTTTTAATCACTGAACCATCTCTCCAGCCCAGCTTTCTGAATTTTAGATCACAGTTCTGATGTGACTTCCACTGAGGGACCTTTCCAACTATGCTGTAGGTTAGTCCCACCTCACTCCCCACTTTGCTTTGCTTTACAGCACTTGGTGTCACCTGAAATAATTTCAGTTGTTTATTTTTTCCATTGTCTCTCTCAGTAGACTCTCAACCCCAGAAAGTCTAGCCCCTGACACTTTCTCCCACTGTGTACAGTAGTCACTGGGCTTGAAATATCACAAACACTTGGTTGTGCTGAGGGACCCAGTGAGAAGAAATAAAACCACATTGGACCCAGAGCCCAGGATGTAGGTAGAAGAGTTTCCACACAAATGGCTTGTAGGTGCACTAACTGCTCCAGGCTTAGAAAGATCCATTCAGAAGATGGGATGCACCTGAGCTCTCAGGTGATGGTGAGCACCTGAAGGTCCCATACTGGAAGCTAGGATGCCTGAGGTTAGTACTGATAGCTGGGTACTAGGGGCGAGGATTAGTGTGTGACTATAGGAGGTTAGACCAGAAAGATGCCAGGAGCTGACAAGGGGTCTCAACACTGCTGGTGCAAGGGACTTTATTTTGGGGGTTGGGGAAGCTGTTGGTAGATTCTAAGCAAGGGGATTAAAAAGATTAGACCTTTAATTTGTAAAGATTAAGCTGATTGGGTGTGATGGATAGACTAGAGGAGGGAGAAACAGGGGGCAGTGAAAAGCCATGTCCAAGTGAGAGGTGATCTGGTCTGGGCTGAGGCAGGGACTGCAGGTCTGAGGAGCAGCAGGAGCGTGAAGACCAGAGAGAGGCCTTGGATCACACTTTCCTGAGGCTAGAGCTAGCACAGGTGAAAGGTTTGGCACCTGAGAAGACTTTGACAATTTGAACACTCGGGAGAGCACATTGTGCTGACAGGGGAGTAGGCTGACTTCTTTACTTACTCAACAAATGTAAGGCAAAGAAAGGGATGAGAAAGAGGGAGGAAAAGAACACTGACTGTAGGGGCTGGAGAGACAGCTCGTTAAGAGCACTGGCTGCTCTCGCAGATGATCTGGGTTTGGTTCCCAAAAATCCAGTGTCCTCTTTTGGCCTTTGTGGGCATTATACATATGTGATATACACACACACACACACACACACACACATGCGCGCACGCAGGAAAACTACTCATACACATAAAATAAAAAATATATAAATAAATAACACTGTTCATCAGTCACTAGACACTCCCCTTTCCACCCACAGCCACCCAGACATCCGGGATGCCGCCATTTGACAGATCAGGAAACTAGGTCTCCATTTCTTTGCCTGAAGCCATTAATTAAGTCACTAGTACTTGGTGAGCATAGAGTCATCCCTGTACCTGCCTGGGCTCAGATGCTCCCTATAAGGAAGCTGCCCCTGGACTCTGCTCTAAATAGGTTCAGCACTCAGAGGGCAGGAACAGGTACAAAAGCAGGCTCTTCCGGACTGTAAGACAGACTGCAGAAGGCCCAAGGAGAGGTAGGGTAGAGGAGTAGACAAGGCATCGTTAGGGCCATCTGGTGCTGGTTACAGTCAAATGAGAGGCCAGTCACCAACCTCTCTCCCCACTATTCTCAACTGCCCACCTGAGTCCCACCCCCCAAACCCAGCCTTGGGAGAGTGAATGACAGTCTGGACCATTAGGTTATGTGAAGATTTTCTTCAAATACAATGATCAAGGTGCCACCTCAAGCTGCAAGAGATATTTAGGTTAGTCCTTTGCTCTTTTATTTTGATTGGTTTGAAAAAATGTCTCATTATAGCTGACCTGGAGCTCAAGATCGTCCCAGCTCAGACTCCTGCATGTTGGGATTACATGTATGCACCACCATGCCTGGCTAGGTCACTCTTTAATAGGTCACCCTGGAGGCACATGCTTGTTATAGAACCTTAGCCCATTATAGGTCTTGATTCTAGGCTCAATAGTGGTTAAAATTAGTCTTCAATTGAAATGCCTGTAAGTGGGGAAAAGGATCGTTCCATGTCACCTAACTAGTGGGATCAGTAGTTGAGAGAAGACGTGTGAAAGGCCTCCATAGGCTTTATTTCAGAATCTGGAGTGCTCACCAAGGCTCACCAAGGCTTTAGTGAATGCTTAGAACCAGGATTGGAAGTGGCTGCAAGCAGAGCACTTAAACTGGAAAAAGCTCTTCTCTGCTGCCATCATGCGCCCATTTTGGGAATAACAGTCTAGCAGTCCTTAGGAAAAGCACCTCTTTCTTCAAAGGCTCCTGAACCGACGGCCTGTGAATGTGCAGTGTGCAGTGAATGCTCTGTCACCCGTGTACACTGGGAACTCAGCAAGGTGAGAGTTGCGTAGAGCCTGGCACATCCTGAATGGCCCACCTTCTTCCTGGCTCTGCCTGCTGTTTGCCACCCCCTCCCTCTTGGTTCCCTAGGGCACTTTCTGAATCAACCTTGTGTTTAAAAAGCCTCTTTGAGTCACTACATCAGGGTGTAGGGATGAAAATTAAGAATTTATTTTGCAGGTAAAACGGCAGCCTGTGAGAGACAAAAAAAGGAGCTGAGGAGAGTAGAGGTCCGGTTATGGAAAGAGGAGACAGCCTTGCAGGGCCGGGCTGCAGCCCCCAGGGAAAGCAGAAGCAGGCTGTTTGGGGGGTCCCAGGCCAGACCTCAGGCTGGGGCTAAAGAGGCTCCAGGGCTCAACTCCAAGTACAGCACTTGCAAAAGGTGCTAAATACCAGGTCTAGAGGACAGCTCTGTTGGAACAGCTGCCCCCCTGCACAGCTGTAGTAACTGGACTGTTCCCTAGGGCTGGGGTACAGCCCGTCAGCTTTGCCTTGGCAGAAGTTGTCTTGCTCTGGGCTGGGTCCCTGCTCAGGCTCAGAAGGCTGGCCTGGCCCAGGTACTTCCTGCTCTGGGCGGCTTGGTGGCACAAATGGAACACCTAGGAAAACAAGGAGGATTCAATCGATGCTGGCCCAAGAGATTCCAAACCACAGACCAAGCACACAGGCAGCAGTCATAGGAGACAGCAAGATCCACAGTCCACATCCAGACCATAGCCACATCTACAGCTGGGGCACAGCCTGACAGACAACCTGGGTTACACAGTAGCAGCAGTTAATGTCCATATACACCCCTGGAATACCCAGTCATATACTGGTGAGGGGTTCCTAGGGGTCCCACATTGCAGAGTGAGGGTTGGCTTTCTTCTTGACAAGTGAGGTGCCAGCTGCTGCTCCCAGGCTGAGGCCTTTGAACGGAAACTCTACTACAACACCCTGGCAGATATTGCCAAGAAACAGGAAGATGCAGAGCACAAAAAACAAATAGTTTCAACAGTTTCCTCAGCTCCTAAGGTTTCATGAAACTTGGGAAATCACAATACTGGGGCACAGTCATTTCTTCAGAAGGGCCTGTATTTGTGAAAAGGGAAGGTGGGCACCCCACCCCTGATTCAGCCTCTGGCTTCCCTCCCCTTACTCACTCAGTTCCTGTTGCAGCATTCGGATGAGAGGGTATTGGCCCTGGTTGCAGAAGGAACCAGTGAAATCATCCAAGTCCAGGGTCCAGACCATGGCACCACCTAGCCCCTTCCGTTTCAGATAGCTGACCTGGGGGAGGGGGCAGATGTGGGTGCAGGGGTCAGGGACAATAGTCCAGGCCAGGCCTAGAGTCCAGCCTCCTCATCTGTGCAGAGGCTTGTTTGCTCAGCATCCTCTGGCCCATGGGTGGTTGGGGCTTCTGGAGGCAGACCTGGAGTGAGGGCCTGGGTGGTTGAGTCCTGACCCTCCTGGGTATAAGCATACCTTAGGTGGAGGTGAGGCAGAGTGGTGATGATGGTTAACATCTTGGACATTTCTGAGCTGAGCTGCTGTTTTAAAATACTGTCTACTCATTGTGAGATGCCCAGTTACTATAGGGAATTAGGTCTAACCTTCTTCCCAAAAGTTTTGAAGCAAGTTTTGCCTTCCTATCATCATGTCTTTGCCCCCCCTCAAGGGCCCTGACTCCTCCACCAGGCTCCCAAGAGAACACAATATCCTGTGCCTTCCTTGAGAGAGGGCTTTCTTTCCCTCACACTGCCAGGGGGCTATGATGTTTGCCTGTGGAATGGGGCTGGGAGCTAAAGGGTAGGGTGGTCTGGACCCCTGGCTGGCCTCACTCTCCCTCAAGGATCCTACCCTGTTCTCAGGGTCCATCCTTCCTTCTCCGCCCTGTCTGTCTATGCAGTCTCCTCCCAGGATGCCCACCTTCTAGACTTTAGGACTTACATAAAGTATGTTTCCTCCACAATCCCTTCTCCCATCTCCTTGAGCTGCATCCAGCATCTTACTATCCACTGGATTCCTGCAGAGTACTTCATCTACACTTCTAGAAAACCCTGTCACTGTTTGCCATCCATGATCACTGATATGGGGTGTGATTGTATGAGGACAAACAGATGTAACTCTTATTCTCCTCAGGAAGATGATCTCATGGGGGTGAGGAAGAGCCAGGAAACACATACAGGAACCAATACTGATCAAGAGAAGGGGGGCTTTAAGTAAATAAAAGATACAATATGCTCCAAATTTCGCCAACAGACTGAATAAAATCATATATCTCATGCACATTTCTCCTCTTCATGTGCCTATAGAATTTATATTTTGATAAAATACAATTTTTTCAAGAGATTTGCAGAACAATTTTTCACTGCCTTCTCTGTCTCTCTGTGTCTCTCAGAGCTGGGGACTGAATCCAGGGCTTCGTAACTGCCAGGCCAAGTTCTCTAGCACTGAGCCACATCTCTGACCTTTGCTGTGCCTTTTCTTTATCAGTAACTGTTTAAAATGCTGGTTCTGGATGCTAGCATGCAATGTTATTGACATGTCTTGGATCTGCACGGGCTCACCCCTCCCAGCAGAGCCAGCCTTACCTTGGCTTTGAAGCTTTCCATGTCATCAAACCCCACCCATTGGTTGCCCTGGAAGACATAGGGCACCTTCTGGTCCTTGATTCTGTGTTTCTCCTTCCAAGAGCAGACCTGTAGGAACAGAGGCAGCAGTAGGGAGAAAGGCACCTACCACTGTTCATTGCCTCCCACCCCGTGTGTGCACCAAGAAGAAACCAGAGATTGGAAAATTCCTTTCCAAGGAAGCCTGGAGAGCATAGTGTGTTCTACTGAGTGGCCTAGAACTATTGATTCAAACTCTAGGCACCTGGCTTAAGGACATATCCAAGACAGCCAGGGTAGGACACAGTTCATCAGGCCAGAATTCTCCATGCTTGGCATCTTTTCTCAGAAACCGTGGGAGAAGAAGTCCTCTCACCTCCCAGGCAGTCCTTGGCCCCCACAATACTCAAGATGGCGATAAGTCTTCCCACCTCATAGTAAGCCAGTGTCCCTTCTTCCCTAGTGAAGGGACCCAGAACACCAGGCCCTGTGACTGGTGCCCCAACTTTAGTGTCTGATGTGGAGGCCAGGGTGAAGGATCGTCCATAGGTGGGCATGCCAAGGATCAGTTTGCTGGCAGGGGTCCCCTTCTGCAGCCACAGCTGCACAGCACTATCCTGGTGGTAGAGAAAGAGGAGGGGTTAATCTGCCTTTGGCTTGGTTCTGGTTGTCTGGAGGATCCAGAGAGAGTAAGGGGAGTGTAGCTTCTGTGCTGGAGATCCAAGGCTCTTTGTTAGTTCTGAAGTCTTGCCCATCTTCTTTCCATCCTCTCTTAGACTTTCAACTTTCTCATGAGAGAAGCTACATTGCACAATGACAAGCGTGTGGACTTTGGAACTAGACAACCAGTCACTGAACAAATATTCACTGACCCACAACTGTCTAAAGCCAGCCTGCCCTTTTCAGGGGCTGGGTAGTTTCTCTCAGTGACATTCCCAGAGATGTTATCAAACTTGGACATGCGATGAGGATGTGAAACAGGGAAGCCATATTGGCTGGAGACTCGGGCTCCAAGGAGGCTTCCCAGTCAGTCTGATGTCACTAAAATGGTTTTCTTCATTATCAGTTAAACGTCTACAGAGAAGTGAGATTTTTCCCTTCAGAGGCGATGCAGGACAGGAAAACAAAACAAACAAGCAAAGATGCCAACAAGACAATCCTGGTTGCTTGGTCTCCTGCTTGGTTTTCCTGGTTTTCTTTTCCATTAGGGCCTTAAGAGTCAACTGCACAGGTCCTGCTGGTCAGGGGAGTCCTGCCTCATCCCTCCGGCTACTTACCACATTGAACTCGGCCACTGCACCGCTCTCTCCCTGCCTCTTGTAGAGGGGGCTATTATGTCCTGTAGTCTTCTCCCAGGAGCCATGGAAATCGTAGGCCATAAGGTTTATGAAATCTAAGCTCCTGCCAGAGGTGTGGGAAGAGGTAGGAGCAATGATTAGGATGGGGCCCCCTCTCTCCCTTTCCAAATGTGAGGGGAGAGAGAGAGAACATGGGTCAGAGGTCAAAGGGTAGCCTCACATCTAGCTCTGTGGATAGCACTGTCTCTCACCCGCAGACCAATCCCATTCTGTGAGGCTGGAATGCTTTGGTGTCCACTCCTACTGTTCCTTCAATACCCTCGGGTGCTTCCTGTTCTATGAAGAAGGCTGGTGCTCTTTTCTTGTTCTGGAGGCAACTTTGCTTCCCAAACTTTAGCACATGTGAGTCCCCCAAGAATCTCACTAAAATGCAGGTTCTTGCTCAGCAGGCTGTATTTCTAACTGGCTCTCAAGTGTCACAGGGGCTGTAAGTCCACACACCACACTGCAGAGCTGACATGTAAACTTCCCATTTTCTTAGAGATGCTCAAGGCCTTTGTTCTCCACGACTTCTTCCCCAGAAGTGTTCTTACTTTAACAGTGAGCTCCCGAGGAACAGGGCAAAGATCCACAAAGAAGGAATTAGAATAATGGAGTAGCCGTTAGAGAAAGCAAGGCCTTTTAGACACCTGGTAGTCACTGTAGGTGAAAACCTGCTTTATTTCTGAGAAGCTCTACTAGCTTGGGCCTCTCCAGCCTCAGAGGACTTGGGGTCCACATCACCTGCCTGAGACTCACAGAGCAATTTTGTCCACCTCATAGCCTGCATCCACATGGCCTCGCCCAGCTGGCACAGCTGCACTCAGAAGGAGTGGCTCCTTCCTTGAGGTTTGAGCTTCCTGCTGAAAGGCTGTGGCCAAATCCTGTGGGGAATAATGCAGAGTGAATACAGAGGCAGGCACCAGCATGACTCCACCCCCATCCCCAACTGGTAGATGCTCGCACTCGATCTGAAACTGTCAACCCTGGGGACACAGCAGCACCCACCTACTGTGAGGCTACCACCCTGAGTCTCTTGGCAGGCTGGGTGACCCTACCTGTACCAGGGTTGTGAAGTGCTTCTTATCTATGGCTGGGCTCCCTCGGCTTCCTGGGTACTCCCAGTCAAGGTCAAGGCCATCAAAACCATGAGCTCGCAGGAACTTGATGGCTGAGTTCACAAAGGTGTACCGGTTGTTGGCTGTGGCCACCATGTCTGAAAACCTGTGAGATTGTGGAATGGTATGACCTCCCTTGGGCTAGACAAGAGGCTCAAGAGCAAGGGGGAAAGCATTCAGTAACCTGATGCTCTGGTGTCCAGACTCTAGGGAAGGGCTCTAGGATATCTGCCACCAGACTACTGGGATATTTGCTGACGAGTTAGGGGTCTGATTACAGGAAGAGACAATAGAAATGCTCCCCAGCCCCTAAAGTCAGTGTTACCAAGGCACAGTGACTCACCAGGAGCCCTGCTGCCTCCAGTCTCATTCTAGTCCCTGAACAATCTCACTGTGAATCAGCTAGCTATTCCCACCCCATCCCACAACATGGAGGTTTGGAAAAGAAGAGGAATTGGCTTCTGAGATGCCTTTAGGGAGATGAGCAGTGAGTTCAGCAAGGGTCTGGGGAACTAGGGAGCCTCTGGTTCAACCCCCTGGAAGGTTAACTGGCTTATCTTTCATCTACTTGTAGACTTGTAGAGTGCTTTGTGCTTCATCACCACACTGGCCCAGGAACCATGTCTCCATATCTTCCCTCCTCATTGGCGTCCAAAGAACCCCTGGACTTCTTGCAGGGGTAGGGAAGGGATGTCTTAATTCTTTATAGACTGATCCCATTTTGACTTACTTTTGTTAATTTCTATTTAAATTAGTAGTCTCAGTTCTTAGCCCCATGTCCCTGGGGACACCAGGCTAAAAATCCTGACAATGTTAATGAAATATCTGATATAAGTGTTATTTTGGGAAATTGAGTCATAACATTCATCAGACTTTCAAAAGGTCTCATGGTCTAAAAATGTTTTTAAAATTACTTAGAACTTTGGGAACTATATATTCTAGTTTTTTATAGAAGCATATTTCTATTATCTTCCTAAATCAAAGATATTACAGAAGTAGACAATAATTTGGTACCCAAGTTCAACCTCACAGGCTGCCTTGAACACCAGAAGTAGAACAAAAAATCTTCAGACAAGATAACCCATTTCAGAGCTCAGAAAACACACTGTATGCTCTCTGGATCCCTAGTCTCCTTTTGCCCCGTTTCATGGAGTTGGAGATTGAGACTGGAGAGGTCTGAGCTCCCTGTGCTGCTTTACATCCTGGGCTTCTGGTAAGATGGGATCTATGGTAAGTTGGAGCCACTGTCCTCTTGATGGGGGCACTAAGAACCAGAGGGGAGAAGCCCCGTGGTCCATCCCCCTTACCCTGACTACCCACTCCCTGAGCAGGGCACTTTCTGCCAAGTGTACGAAGTCCCCATCCAGCAGCTCTGCCCCCTGTCCATGTCTACTTACTTCTGAGTACCAAAGTTCCAGCCCCCAATGGCTAACAGAGTCTTGAGCTTGGAGTTTCTGAAAAGACAAGGGATGTGTAAGGCTGTATCTCACCAGCATACGATCTGTGCTGAGTGCCCTAGGTGCTGTAGACTGGGAGAGAAAATACATGTTCGTGACTTAGAGGACCTCGTGTCTAACTGGGGCAGCAGCACTCCAGTGTACCTAGACAAGGAACTCGGGAAGCAAGTGACCAGGGTCCTCAGAGAGGCTTTGTGACACAGCTGAAAAGGATAGATTATAAAGAGTTCCCAAGAGAAGGAAATTCCTGAGAGAGGGAAACAGTTTTGCAGTCCCGATCCTACTTGGCTCTTATACAGGACTGTCCTCTGACAGACAGACACCATCATTCTGAGCTCAGATGTGCCTGCTTGCCAAAGATCATGCTGGGCTTGTTGACTGCTGATGCCCCCACACAGAAGGAGGGACAGAGAGAGTCCAGGACCCTCATCTGAGTATCCAGCCACTCCTCCCCAATCCCTGTTGGGTAATTTGGCTCTAACTGCACATTGCCTGAGGGAAGGGCTAGAATATACAGGTTGGGGAAGACCAAGGCTCCATTTATACCACTGTGGGGAAGCCATCATCCATGCTTCGGTAAAGATTTTTTAGTGCAGCCTTGGGGGGCATCTATGTGCCTGTAAGCAACCCCTCAACCATTCTTCTATAAGCAAGCCCAATAAACTCATTGGAACATTGGAGTGCCCCTCGATGGAAACCTACCTTGGTGGTTTGTTATTAGGACTTTGGAAGGAAGGATAGGCCTTGTTTATCCCCTCCCTGCCAGAAGGAATTTTAGGAACTGGAAAGGCCCTTTAGAATTCCCTGATTTACCCCCATCCCTTCCATATAAGCACAGGAAAACCCAGAGAAGTGATGACCAAAAGGAGGGGAGGGGTTGTCCAAAGCCCCACAGCAGGTTTGTGGCACAGGGATGCAGTGATAGAGAAGCCCTCTGGCTCTGAGAAGGAGTCCATCCACCACCCATCTCCCCTCTTCCCCTGTGGCTCACATCATCTTCAGGCCATTCAACTCCTGGTAGAGAATCTCATCATTCCACTCTACAGAGCTGAGCTGGTGATTGTTCATGCCAGCAAAAGCATAGATAAGGTGGGTACACAGGTTGGGATCCACATTCCTGGGCAAGAATCGAGCTGCCCCTGCCCGGTACTGGGCCCAGTTGGTGAAGTAGCAGACCAGTTTTGCAGCAGAGCCTGACCAGTTAGGACAAAGAAAGAATGGCTGTCAGAAGAGCTTCTGGGGACTTGTGCCCCTGCTCCAGGCAGACAGTGCTCTTGGGCATCTTACACACCATGCTGAATGTTGGCAGCTAAAATAGGGCCTGCTTTTGTTTGGGTAGCACCTTATAGTTAGGATTTACATAGGTTTACCATGGAGGCCTCAGGCTTCCTGTTAGTAGCTCACTTCCCCATGTGGAAACTGAGGCTCATGACCCCTCCCAGTCAGCACATCTGTTCAGAGGACAGAGTAGGGTGCTAGGATCCTGGTCTCTGGGCCCCTTGACACCCTAGGCTCAGAGTCCAGGTCCTTAGTGCCAAGACCTGCAGGCAGGATTCCTTACATCTTCTAAGGCCTGAAACTTTGGGCAACCCCAGGCAGATCCATCACAAGGCTCAGAGGGAGTTAAACATGACAAGTTCTGCTGAAGAGAGAGAGGAAGAATCTTCAAAACATAGATGGGGATACTTCAGAGTGTTAATTAAAATGCAAATACAAGGAGCAGCAGAGAGGAGGTCCCAGCCTGAGGCCTGGGCTCAGGCTTCTTTAATCTTGGGTTAACACAGTTTGCATTTATTTGTTATTCCTTGCAGAGAACCTACATTTATCAATGTCATGGCTAAAGTTCTAGTAAAGAGTTTAGATTACCTAGGGAAATGTAGCTTGTATCTGCTGTCCCCATAACATGGAGGAAAGGCTGCAGGGAAGGCACTATTCCCAGTGGGGTAGTGCTGATGGCCCCTTGGAGGTCAGCCCTGAGCCAAGTGGACCAGGACATCAGAGAGCGAAAATGCTAGTCTTCATTCCTGCATCTTTCAGAACAAGCTTGGAGTCCATCCATTTTTTGGTTTTAGCTTATCTGTAATCTCTGAGGCCTCTTCCTACCCTGAGCTCTGTGATAGGTGGATTTGTACAAGCCAACACTTTACACTTGGGGAGGGGAGTGAGTTTGGTGTCTAGACTCTAGGACTTCCTTCTGCCCCAACAGGATCTCTTTACACCTCTCTAACCCACCCCCATCCCCTGCTCCTTCCCCATGTGGCCAGTGCCAGTGAAAGGTGGAAGGGGGGACAGGGGTACAAAATGAAGGGCCAACCCTGAGCATGGATAGTCCTAAAGAAGAACCTCTGAGTGGTCAATGGCCCTGATGGAAATCACCCAGGAATGGAGCTTGTTGGAAGGGGCGTATGTAGTCTGTGGTGATCTATAAGGAACGGTGAACTCCTTATAGCAAAAGGAAGAAAGAAGGACCAACCCAGAGAAGACACCCCCTGCACCATGCAGGAAGGAGTTGGGAGGCTGTTGTGCTGCTGTCCCATCATACCATTGCATATCAAATGCTACGAATGCATCTGGTACAGTGGAGGCCATAAGGTAGGCAGGTGAGAGCAGGGCCTAGTCATATAACCCAGCTTCCTTCTCTCCAGGTAGGAACATCACTCACACAGTGTGTCTCACAAGATGACTCTATGGCTATCAGCCTTTAGATGACTGCTGGCTTAGAGTAAGCTCTGTTCCGAGTGCTCATGGACGTTAACTCCTAGTCTAATACAAGTCCTGCTACAGGTGCTACACTGCTGTTAGAGCCTGAAAACCAGCTTTGGGGGAAATCTCCAGCCTCCCCATGGTTAGTTCTTCTATGTTTCCTGCCTGTGTCTTCCTGTGAAACTAAGAGGGAGATGAACAGTGCTACAGCCCAATGCGAAGAGAAACAGGCTCAAGATAAGCGTCTGAGGGGCCACCATTCTTGGACCACTGATGTCCAGCTAGTAGGTGGGGTGGGAAGGGGACCTTGAAGTTCCAGATGCTGAAAATACTGAAAATGCCCAGGAAATATCTTTTCTGTTGGACACAGGATCTCCCTTCTGCCTCTCTTAAAGCTCCACACCCATCAACACAAGTGTCCTCACTGAGCTTAGGGGCTGGGGCCACAGGTCTGGAAATATGGGCTCTTTACCTCCAGGAGCTCAGAATTGGTGGGGGAAACACCTAAGGTAAGGACTACAGGTACTCTGATATATACCGGAAACTGTGCAGGAGCTGTGAGAACATAGGGGTGGGACCAAGAGGCCGCAGGAAAGACCTAGGAGAAGCAGACATACAAGCTAGTTCTCTGGGTCTGCAGGAGTTAAGCTGGTGGATAAGGAGCCAAAATCTTCTTGGAAGGAGTGGTAAGGCTCTTAGGGGAACAAGGATGATCACAGGGGGGCAAGCTTTGGAAGTCAGTCTCCTTGAAGTCTGACAAGAGTTCTTGTTGGGGAGGGGGAGGGATGAGGTAGGGGAGTATAACAGAGGGAAGGGTGGAGGGAGCAAAGGCTGACCTGAAGACAGATGCCACTTACCCCACTGGACCATTAGCAGAGCTGTCACACCTGAAGTAACAAGAAGAGAGGGCAGAGGTCACATTGTCACCATCACTGCCCTAGGCTCCAGATCCCATGTTTTAATGGAGGCACAGGGGGTGCAGACAGCCAAGGACAGACATGGTTTCACACATGTCAAGCTTCCTTCTGAGGAGACCCAAGAGGGCACTGTGTTCATCTCTTCACCAAGACCAGATGGCCAGGGGCCTATTTCTATCCAGGGTTGGTTCCTGAGGCTGGTAGAAATTTCCATGGACTGATACTGCTCTGTTCTAGAGCCTCAGTATATTTAGGGAAGATCATGGGGAAACTGCAGAGTTTATGCTTCTCTGTGGAGCAAGAAGAAAAGCTATCCCAGGGCCAGGAAGAGCCCACCTGGAAGGGCTGGGCAGGAGACCCCATCTCCTGACGGGCTTGGTACCTGGTGCCTCTGGCCCCAGTGATTCATGACATCCCACTGCCTTCCCACCACCTGCCACTAGAGGCTATAGCACTATTACCAGCATCCTTGGAGACTGAGGCCTGACAGACTCCAGAGAATTTCCTTCCACATTTCTTGGATTTTCCTTTTAACCTGATGAAAATCCATTTCTTGGATTTTCCTTTTAACCTGATGAAACCTACATAAAAAATTTCAGGGACCCATAAGCTGCCTTTCAGGACAAGCAATATGGAGTTGGGAAAGGTGACCCTTGGTTGTAGGTGTTTCTTGGGCAAAGCCAACAGTAAGAAACTAATAATATGGGAAAAACAAAAACACCCAGTGCGGGGGTTCATTGACTACATTTCTAGGACAGTCTATGGAGGAACACTTCCCTTACAACACAAAGGCTCTTGAGGTGAAAAGGGTAGTCAAGCCAGGAAGGAGGCAGGTGGAATGAACTAAAGAGTTCCTGTGTCCTCTTGCTCCCTTACAGAGATTAGGAGGGAGCTACAAGCCACACATACCCTTGTGTGCCCAAGGTTCCTGAGGCCCAGCCCCCTCTCCCTGTCAGAGTCCACGCACCTGCCCAGGCCATGAACTGCACCATGATGCTGGCTCAGTGGCAGATGTCAGCCTGGCGCACACCAGTTCCACAGGTTTTGCTCTGTTCTTATCTGACTGCTCTGTTCCAGCACAGCCAGGAGTGCTGAAATTAAGGCCTGAGGGAGGAGAGCAAGCAGGGCTAGGGGTGGCAAATGGAGAGGTAGGATGTCAAGGTGCATGGGTTAAGCAAACCTGACACAATGGTCTTTAGCAAATCTTGCTTTCCTGGAACAATCAAAGGGTAAAAAGTGACCTCTTCCTGTTGCCAAACCAGTAGGCAGAGAGAAGAAAGTAGGGAGTGTTTGCAGCCCCCTGCTGGCCAGCATGACTCTGATCCTTGTGTGGTTTGGAAGGACTGTGTGCAGTCCTAAACCCCATGGGGCCCTAATTTTATTAAATTAGTTCTTTGATAATTTTATATCAAAATGACTCTCTGGTCAGGGCAATTGGGCTCTCTAGATGAGCTCTCCTCTCAACAGCCTTCTCTCGAACTCAGTTTCTCCATCTGTAAGACAATTGGGTTGCAGAGATAAGTGATTTTCACAAAGCGTTTTTACTTTCCACATGCTATTTGCTATAGCCACGATTGAGAAAAATCCATAATGATAAATAGTGATTAAGAATTTAGCAATAGTTTTAAATGCACAGGTTTCTTAGGAGAATCAGGGGCCCTTGTACAGTACTAGCATCCTATAGCTGTATAATAAACTGGGTGTCCTAAAACAACATGAATTAATTTTCGCACAGTTCTGGAGGAAGTAGTCTGAAATCAAGGTATAGCAGGGCTGTGATTCTTCTAGAGGCTCCAGAGGACAAGCCTTCCTTTCATCTTCCAGCTCTGGTGACAAGTGGCATCCCATGGCCTATGTCAGTGTCATTCCAATGCTGCCTGCCTCCATCTCACATGGTCTTTCCGTGTCCTTGTATGTCTTTCTCTTTCTGTTTCTAAGGACATTAATCCAGGGTGGGCCCATTTTGGGACCTCCTCCTTCTTTATCTTCTGCAAAGACCTTTAATCCAAACAAGGCCACAGCCTGAAGTTATTGTGGGGATATCTTTTTAATTACAATTTTTATTAAATTAGTTCTTTGATAATTTTATATAAGTATATAACACATTTTGATTACTCACACCTACCACTCTCTTATCTCCCTCCCACCCCTGACAAAACACCCTCTTCCCTATAAGTCCCTGTGCCACAATCATGTTCTTTTGTTTTGTTTTATGACCTACTGAGTTTAACCAGGCTCTCTGTAGGACCATAGGTTTGGAACTGTCCATTGGAGCAGGGTGGTCTACAGCTGAAGACAATAGGTATCTCTCCAGGAGAATCCACCAGTAACCAATAGTTCATCAGGGAGGGCCTGGGGCTTTTGACCTCCTCCCCATCCATATTTGACTGATGGGCCCAGTCTTGTACAGGCCCCATGGAGATGACCACAGCTACTATGACATCATGATTCCGTGTCTGTGTCATGCCCAAAAGATGGTGTTTCACATCCTTTCTTCAGTCTTCCAGCTCCTATAGTCTTTCCACATCCTCTTCTGGGATGCTCCCTGAACCTTAGAGGAGGTGGAATAAATGTTCTGTCTAGGGCTGAGCACTCAGCCGTCACTTATTTTCAGCACCCAGAGCAACCACGAGTCTCACATTTACCACCACTCATTGCGAAGCAAAGCTTTTCTCATTAAGTCTGAGAGTAGCTTTTGTCTATAGGTATAAACATAAATATTTAGAAGACAATTTGGAACCATATCAATTTAGCTATACAACCATATTAAGTTCTCCCCTAGGGTCTAAGACCACCTCATCCATGAGCTTTCAACTGTCTAACATTTTCAGGCATGAATAAGCCTCAGAAACGGAGAGCAGTTGGAGGCATCTTTAGAGAGCTCACCATTCAACTCACCACAGGACCTTGATTGGTACAGATCACCTGTGTGAAATGTCTGGTGTGTACCTGGATTCTGGGGCCCCTAGGAAAGCTACAATTTCAAGAGGACTTGGTCCTTCAGTTTAGCATGAAATGTCTGATGGCTGAGAGGTCTGGTTTGAATCACAACTCTGCCATTGCTGCCTGTACACTTCTAGAAAGTCCCTTCATTTCCTCGAACTTTGCTTGTCAGGGGAAATCCACAGAGAAGTGCTGTGAAGACACTACATGCAGCTGGTATTGTTTGTTTTTTGGCTTTTTGGAGACAGGGTTTCACTATGTAACTGAGGATAGCCTCGAACTCATGATTGCAGGAGTGCACTGCCATTGCACTACTTCCACCTGGTCTCTGAGGGCATCAGAAATCTATCACCTCTGAGACAACCTCTGTGAAGTCTACGAGAGGTTGGCCTTGCTGCCCAGATAGACCAGCTCTGTGTTCTCACTTCCTTGTGAAAAAGTATAGCTGTTGTTCCAATATCCCCACCTCAACCGGGGATCTTGCAATTGGCAGAAGTACCTCAGCTCTGGGGCTGATGGAGACAGGGAGGACAAGGAGGAGAGCTTCTTTGGTGATCTAGGAGTCTCTTTACCCCCTCACTTCTATGGCAGACTGCAATTGTACCCTTATGCCACCAGCTTCATGTCATCAAGAGAACCTGAAGGTGGTGTCCAGGTGCCAAGTTGCTCAATTGTCCCAGTGGTCTGGGGATCCTATGTGCCCAAGAACCCCTATTAGTATCCCAGGCCACCTTGGTTAATGCAGTTATTCTTTTATTATTATTATTATTATTATTATTAGTGTTGTTTTCTTTTTAATTTTGTCCTGCATCAATCATTTCTTTAAAGGAAAGTATGTCTTTAAAAAACTTAACACGAGCAGTAAATAGACTCCTCTAAACTTCTCTGCCAAGAACCTGCTGAGGTTCAGGGGCTCTGAACCAGGTCTCCTCAATACCCAGGGCTCCCCAGGTTTCCACGAACAACTCCAGACAAGGCCTGGTACTCAGACAAGTGCCTCAGGAAATAATATATATATATAAAATATATATATATCCTGACTCCTCAAAATCCACACAAGTCAGGCGTGGTGGCTCATGTTTGTAATGCCAGCACTCTAAGAGGGTCACCACTAGTTTAAGGCCAGCCTTGGCTATACAGTGAGTTCACGGCCACTTTGGATGACTATACAGTGAGACTCTATCTCAAACAAACCAGGAACCAGGGCTGCCCATATATGGCATAGTCATTGTATCCTTGTCTGACTGGTCCCAGAACCAGGGCCGCCCATATATGGCATAGTCATTGCATCCTGTCTGATTGGTCCAGGGACCCTATATAAGCTTGTAAATTCCTCAGTAAAATAGATCTGTGTCACTGAACCTGGCCTCCTGTGTCTGAATGTGGCTCCGCTGACACAGTCTCCTCACCAGCCTTGGGGTCCGGGATCGGGTGGCAGTGGCGACAACCGTGAAGGCAGACCAGACGGACCGCCACAAAAGTTTGGGCTGTTATAGAAATTGTGTGTGTGTGTGTGTGTGTGTGTGTGTGTGTGTATGTGTGTGTATCTATAAACCAAGAAACAGCCCATCTTTCCTGTAGGGACAGAGACTTCTTGAAAAACTCTTCATTGCTCTAGTTTAGAACTACTTGTTGAAGTAGGCAGGATGAGGACCCTGGACAAGGCAGGCAGGAGAGTGGTGTAGCCCCTAGACTTACTGTACAATTGTGTCTGGATCTCAGCAGGGCTCTAGGCTGTTCTGATGACCAGATCTGTGTCTAACAGGCATTAGGGAATAACAAGCCCTGGTGGAGGCTGTGCGGGGAAAGCAGGAGGGAGAACCATAGCCTGTAAAGCTGGGGAGGAAGCTTCCCTGGGGATGACCCAGTGTGCCATCCAAGTAAATGTGTCCCAGCCCCCAGACCAGGCCACCTTCATGTACAGAGATCTCTGGTATCACTGATATACTCTTCTTCACAGGCCCTAACCTCCCTGCCTATGTTTACCAGCATCAGTCTAGGGTTACTCCCACCTCTCTAGCACTCCACAGAGAGCTCTCTGGGTCACCTCTTGTTCCTCCATGTACAACCTTCCACCATTTCTACACAACTCCTTTTTTAGAACAGCAAAGAAAGAATTCCAGTGTGAAAGTAGGCAGAGTGGGGCATCCCAATAAACTCTCTAAGAAATTAATTTGTGGGGTTTCAAACCCTTCCTTCCAATTCCATCAGCTCTCTCCCCTCCAAAGCACCCTTCCTTTACTAAATCCAATGAAAACCAGTATGGAATAAAAGGAAACTTCAAGACCAGTCTCCACTCCCCACTTCACAGCACACTCCTATGTAAATTCTGGAGCCTTCATTAGTTCACATCATGGCTAGTTGAGCTGGGCTAGTCACAATTTCCTCAAGCCTGTTCCCTGGTCTGTAAAGTGGAAGTAATTCTGTCTTTTCTGGTTGTGATGTAGACCAAACAGACAAAGTATGGGAAGGCTTTGTGCTGGGCGAGGAGCCCTCCAGGCCTTTTTGAGAATGCAATTACAATGGGTGGTGTCACCCTGCCTGCCATTTGCTTCACTTGACTTCCCTTCTCTGTAGTTTTATTGGCCACAGTCAGGGCTGAGCTTATCCTTACAATCTGTACACATCCCTCAGGGGTTAGCATGGAATGAGCCTTCAATTTGATGTCCCTTATGTCCCTCCTTCCATATTGTCCAGTTGTTCCCACAACAGTACAAGGCATCACCAGGCACCTAGTTCCTCAGTCAGAGTTAGCCCTACTCTTCTCTTCACTTTCAGTGGCCATGTGTTACTACCTGTCCTCCCTCCTGGTTCATCGTCTCTACCTCTGAACCAATGTTAACTGTCATCCTGCCCACCAACAGAGCCCCTGTTAACTGTTCTCCCTCCTTCCTTTCCTGCCCCTGCCAGCCACTCTCCCAGCAGCCATGATGTTCACAAAGGAACCTACATCAGACCCTGCCTGATTTAGTTTCCTGCTCAAACCCCTCAATGGCTCCCCACAGAACTTAGAGTAAGACTCACTCCCTTACCTTGTCTCTGGAAAGTTCCAAGTCTACTCTTCACTGAGACCTTCACACTTGCTGCCACTACCTGGAATGTCCTTGAGTGAGACCACACCTTCCTTCTCCCCATTCAGGCTTTCTGTGACCACTCATTCATTCATTCATTCATTCACTCATATTCCCATGACCACTCATTTCATTCATTC